CTGGGGGGGAACACGAGCTCGCTGGGGGGCCGTCTCCTTGCCAGAGCCGCTGCTGAGACCAGAGGAGGGGGGCAAGCCTCAAAGGGTTCAGTGAAGATGGGGAGGGAGAAGAATGGAAAAGGTGGGAGGGGGCACAGAAAAAATTCAAAAGGAGCCCCCCCAACCTCCCTCCCTCCCCAAAACGCACATGCATCGTTTCCCCTCCACCCCCACCAGGAGCAAGTGAAGGACTCTGCAAACTCCCCCAGCTCCTGGTAGCAAACCGAGACCCATTCCCTAAAGAGCCCCCCCCCCCCGAGCTATTCCCCCAAACCAGAGCCCCCCTCCCGCAGCTAGTCACAGGCTCCCGAGCAGGGAAGAGCCGTCCAGCCCCCCTCTTCCCCTTTGCACCAAGCCAGGCTGTCCCTGGCTCCAAACAACCGGGGGAGGGGGCTGTTTCTCCGGAGCCCCCCAGAAAGCCCCAGCCTGGTCAGATCTCAGCCCTGCCTTGCAGCCTCGCCCAGCGCAGGTCCCAGAGCTGCCTTCCCCCTCCAGAAGTTTGCACCTGCTGCAAGTCTGGCAGCCCCAGCCCAGCTCCCCTTCGCGCTCACTCACATTTTTCTGGTCCTGGGGGGGGCGTTTCTCCTGCCGCAGCTTTGCCCCGGTTTGCAGGGACTCCAGCTCTGCCCGGGGGGACGGGAGCTCCGCGGCTGCCTGCCTGGACGAGGCGCCGGGAGCCAGGCGCCCGCAGCGGGCTTCAGGCTCGCACCCAGGCGGAGCTAACGCCGCAGGAGCATCTCCCAGGTGCTCCTCCAGCAGCAGAGGCGAGGAGAGACCCTCTCCTCCCCCTGCCCCTGCCCCTGCCCCTGCCCCACGCGCAGCGGCTGCGTCATGCAAAGCAAGTGCTCTCTTTGCACCAGCGCACGGGTTCTGTGCCGGGGGGAGGCAGCGTCTCTGGGCAGGGGCCGAGCTTTGAGCACGCAGCCCCCTCCCCTGCCCCTCCTCCCCGCTGCAGAAGGGAAGGGGGCCGGTTTGCCCTGCAGGAGGCAGACGGAATTGGACGTGGGAAAATCCCTCGGCTCTGCCCAGGGATTTAGCAGCGGCAGGGCTGGCAAGGGGGGGGGCGCGGGGGTGATGCCACAGTGGCATGCAGTGGGGCCAATGCAGCTGCCGCGCCGCGTGTGCAGCTCACAGCGGGTGGTGTGCTCGTGCCCAGACGCAGCTGCATTCTTGGGAGGAGGATG